CATTGTGGTATTGTGGTATAGTGGTATAAGGGATATATTTTATACCATCATTGTGGTATTGTGATATAAGGAGTATATTTTATACCATCATTGTGATATTGTGGTATAAGTAGTATATGTTATACCACGATTGTGGTATAGTGGTATAATGGGTATATTTTATGCCACTATAGCAGTATAGCAATACGAGAGTTGTACGGTTGTATCGATCTGGCGGTGAATTAAACCACATTTTCGTAGAAATAAAAGTTTACATCTCTGCAGTTGAACGCACAGGCTTATGAAAGTCGTCGGATGTAAATAGGAAAGCTTCTATCAACTTTGCAGTTATAGTAGCGTGTTCACATCGAGCTTCAAAATCAAAGAAATATCACTCATCGTTCAAGCTTTAAACGAACTTAAGCTGACAGAGAAGTCTAGCAGGTGGAATAGCTTGATATGTTACTACTGATTTGTGGAATCGACGTTTATGGTTTGTAGGTCGAATTGTGTAATGGTTTAATTTATGGAAGTGTCTCTATGACGGATAAGTGATCTGCGGAGTTTAGTTACATACTGCAGTGTCTCAAAGTGCGATCCAGAAGATATGTTAGCATATGGAAGAAATGCCTCGATGTCGCCAATTCTTTTGAAACATGCATTAGCATGATCCGTCACTTCTTATTTCCTGAAGAAATAGCCACGAAATTTTCATTGTTATCTTTGCGGCAATTAAAAACATTATGTACGAGAGCCTTGAAATCCCATTACATAACTAACAGTTGTCCAGGAGACGCCATTTGTGTAACGAGTCCGGTTAATCCATGTTCAACGGTACTTCACCAATTGTGTGTGCAAAACCCTATCGTACATCATTTAACAGAACACACATGTGTGCCGTACATCATTTCAAACTAGCTGCGCTGGAATCACCAACCAGATTTCAGTAAGTGCCTGGCATCATCTTGAGCCGCTTCCATGAAAAAACACTACGAAATGTTATCTCCTTTCTGTAACAAGCAACAAACGGACTTTGATTTTTAGACTTAGAGCTCGGCAGCAAAACTAGCACCGGCTGGCCACGTCCTTCCCGACACAGGATTAGTTTATCTGAGTTTCACCATATTAGAGAGTGTAAACACACCTTTATTTAAGGTCGGGTGCGTCGTGGCCCGAGGTCACCTGAAGAGCGCCGAGATGCCACGTCTCTCTTCCTACAAGTTTCATTTTTGTCGTGTGCACAACATTAGAGGGCACATACACCTTTATTTAAGTCTCGGCGCTGGGTGGCCCGTAGAGCAGCGATATGCCACGTCTCTCTTCATACAAGTTTTATTTATGTGGAGTGCACAACATCAGAGGGCGTACACACACCTTTAGTTATGTGTCCGTGAGTGGTGGCCCGAAGAACGTCGAGATGCCACGTCCCTCTTCGTAGAAGTTTCATTTATGTGGGGTGCACGACGTCAGAGGAGACACACACACCTTTAGTTATGTGTCCGTGCGTGGTGGCCCGAAGGGCCATCCAAAGAGCGCTCATATG